AAGAACAGACAATGGCCTTTCCTGTCTGTTTTGCATTAGGCTTGGATAAAGGCCTTTGCTACCCACAGCCAGCGGCCAAATAATTTCTGTATGTGCTCTATAGCTATTTTGAGGTTCTGTACTGTCCTGCAGGAGTAGAGGAAAGGAAAGGTTTTAAAGGTTACAACATCTTSTCATGTCTGCCTCTCCAACCAACCTGCTTTTCCTCCATTCCTGAGTGTAGGAACAAATGGCCTGAGTACAGATTGGGCACTGAAATCAGTGAATGACTACGCATAAATACGAAGATTAGATGTTGAAAGAAAATGAGACTCCTCAGACCAGCCCTTTGCACTGAAGTGGTTACGTGGCTGTGATTAAAAAAAAAAAAAAGTAATTATCCTAATTATAGATAAAAATATACAGAATTACCACTTTTAAACCTCCTCTGTTATTTACAAAGTGATCCTTCCAATGGTGTAGCGTAAGCACGAGGGGACCCTCTGGGTGCAGTGCAGCAGCCCTGTTTCTCCAAGGTGGAGCTGGTGCTGTGTGCTTTGTCCCCAAGCACAGCTCCAAAGTTCAAATCTCGCTCCAGTGAGCAGGATGGTGCTAAACCAGGAGAAATCGTGGGAACCTTTCTGTCTCCAGCTCAGTGCAGGGTAYAGCAGAGTTCACAGAGCTCTCCCAGCTTGGCCACGACCACTGCTAGAAACGGCTTTTATGATCACCAGGTTTTAAATAATAAATAAAACAAAGAAGCAAACTGAAGCGCTGGAGAACAGCCCTGGGTGGTGACATCCTGTCACAATTGAAGCATGGCAATTCTGCCGGCTAGTAACTCATTACAAAACATTTCTTTACCAGCTTCTTCTTACTCTGGGGCAAAGTGCCTGTGTGCCTGTGGGACTGGAGAGTTCCGGACACGCTGGGTCATGGATGCTGGCGGCTCCTCTGTGTTCCCACTTGCAGTGCTGGGAGATGTGTTACACTCTTGCTCTCCCTGCTRCATCCCTTATTGTGCCTAGGAATTTGGTTTCCAGTGCTGTCAGTCAATTCAGTGCCACGCATAAGCCCTAAATGCCCCACGGGCTGTTTGTCAGAATGTTCCTATTAACAACTCAGTGCAAATAAAGTGTGAGGGGAAGGGAAGGTGGAGAAATAAATCTTATTTTAAATCTTTTGAGCTGGTTTTATTTTAAATGGAAAGTTGCATGCAGACCACCCCAAGCTATTGTGCTGTGGTCTGCKTCAGCTGCTTGACTGTGCAGGAAGATTGGGGTAGAGGTTGGGAGCATCACACAGGGGAAGGGTGCACTGAATTCCTTTTGTGCTGGATCCAGGAAGTTTTAACTCAGTATGGAGTTGAAATACATTGACGCACATGGTAATCATTATAGGATGAGAACGGACTATTGAAATACAGCAATTTGCTGCTCCCATTCTAGGGCTTRTGTTGGTTTCTGACTCTTGTAGAGGTAGTGACATATTGTGGGGAGGTATAGAAAAATGAAGGGCAGATGCTATCCTGACATGCTCTCAGAGCTAATTGCTGAGCTTAGCACAGTACCTGTTGTCCAGACACAAGTTTCTGCCTACCTAGTGATTGGCTTTGTAAGGGTGGGTGGCTCTGCAATATGACAGTACTTTTGTGCTTGGTTTAAATGAGCTCTTCAAGCAAAGAACTGCAGAATTGTGTACCAAGTCAGTGATGCAGAGAGAAAACGAAAACACTGCAATGTCTTTTGTTGTGGTCACACCACAGATGGAGGTAGGTAACAGCCTCCTGAACCAGCTTTTATTTAACTACCACAGGCATTGCTAGCAGAAGTAGTTTATCAGCAGTACTTGAATGTAGATATCCATGGAACCCCTTCGTTCCCAGTGTGAGGTCCTGCTGCTCTGTCCTCTCTGCTTTGTATTCCCATCAATATAGGGCTGCAAGAACTCTAAATGTATCCCCAGGTTTAGTAGAACAACAACAAACAAGGGAAAGACTGTAATCGAGTATGAGCATGGAAAAGGGGGGATGCAGAGGTAAAAGGCSTGTCTCAGGAAGATCTGAGGCAGAATGCTGGTGTCACAGAAGCTGTGGCTCCTGTATCCCTTTTTGCTTAGAGCATTGCTGCCAGGCTGGCCTGTCTCTCAATGTCATTCTCCATCTCAGGGCTTTGTCAGCCTTGCTCCTGTTCAGCCCTGCAGAACCCTACCAATGCACAGTTACCCAAGAACAACAGGGAATCAGATACAGCCAATGTGTTAGAGACTGAGAGTCTTGAGGAGTTGAGTAAGGCACATTTTTTCCATCCAGCGTAACTGCTAATGGTAACCTTTTATTACTGGAGTGGTTGAAGTGACTAGAATCTGGTTTGTTTATATGGCTGTATAGTCTAATGTGATCAAAAAAAAAGAAAATGATAATAAAGGAAAAAATATACCTATGGAAGCAAGTCAGGTGATGTTGCTGTGTAATTCCAAGTAGCACTGCAGAGATTAACAGCCTGGCAGCCTTTTCATCTTAAACTTTATTTTTATAGGGGTTTATAACTTGGCATTGAAGTCAGGAGTGGGTGGAAACTTGGCAAATGTGGTTCAGCCCAGAAAGTGAATGTTATTTWTATTTATTTCTCACCAAGTTTTCAAAAACACTTGGTTACTGGTTTTTTTTGTTCTAACAAGTAATAATTTGTTGGTTTCAGTTACTTATTCTCTGTGTGCTCCTCAAACTACAAATAGCTCAGAACTTTTTCAGCTCTTCTGAAACTCCTAGCAGAAGGACTGTAGATTTTTAGAGTTGTCAGTGATGTAGCAGGATGCTCCAAGYATTTAATTACACAGAGCAACATCTTTGTTCTACTTACACCTGCCAAGCAGCTATTGTACCTTTGGAATAATTGCATTTGGCTGGCAACTGTGTGTATTTAATGGCATTTCTCAGGTGCAGGCTTGCTGCAGAGGGGCTGAGGAGGCAATAGTATGGCCATGTGGGCTCTGTGTTGCAGAATGGTCTGGGGCTGTGATAAACCAGCCCCTCCTTACTCCCCTGCCCACACTTCTCTATTGGTGATGGGTCTGTCCCTGGAATTTGCACTGCTCCTATTACATTTTTCACATTGATTCCCTGTCTGTACTTAAAGTGGTGTACAGCTTTCTGTAGCTCATTTTGGGGAAGGCCTACTGACATCATGAGGAGCAGCTTTCAAATAGGGATTTTCAATATTTTCAGCAAGATGAAATACTACATTATGTATCTGACAGCCTGTGAGTAACGCAGCAAAATGGTCATTTGCTGACAATAAAATTTGTGTATCACACACATTGCATTGCCTTTCACAGTTGAAATACAAATAAACACTTAGAAATTCACTTGGGTTGAAACATTAGCTTTTGTGGAAAAGTGGGATTCATAGTTTTCCTAGAAGTTAATTTTTATTTTATATATTTTAAAGCAATTATTTTATAGAAGGCTAAAGGTGTTGTGAGTTTTTCCTTTAAAAGAATGGGAGGATTTAGTTAAAATTTTTTCAAGGAAATCCTGGGTATTAATTCACCTAGTTGTAAAAGTCAGCACTTGTGATGTTACGGAGTGACAGTTCTAAAGACAGTAACTGTGTGTTTGTAAGTGTTCAGGGCATGACTCCCTCTCTGTCTTAGATTAACTCTGGAAGGTGAAAAGAGCTGTCTTTCTATATAAAAGGAAACAGCAAGTCATCAGTAAGCTGTCATTCTGAGTATTAACTGTGTAAAGCTTCRAGGCTTTATATAGATTAGGTTTTTCAAAAGAGTTCAAAACCTCATACAATTGTTATTTATTACACAGGTTATAAGATTATTATGGCCTTTATTATATAAATCCTATCTTGTTATTTGCTGGGACCAATACAAGGATGAGGTAGTGGTTTCTATGACACACTTCTCTGAATGCTTTTATATCAGATCAGTATAAAGATGCCAATCCACTTGCATGTAGGGAGGCTCATGGAATCTGCAAGCTACTGTAAAATAACTTCTGATTGCTTAAAATTATCTAGGTAGGAATTATATTTATGCACTTTCTAAACTTCATTTCCTATTTCAAATAGTAATTTTACAGGGAATTTGATTTTGTAGTATCTGCATTTAGTTCTGCATTACATGAAAAGATACTGTGATATTGCTGACATGAGACATTTAACAGGGACAATGCATATCAGTATATAAAATTACAGTGTATGCATTTTGTGTGTACTGTTTGACTTTTTGTAATGTGAAATCACTTAGACATCACTGTTGTGCTACACAAAGTTTTTTTTGAAGAGAGTGAAGCCACTTTCTTTCAAGTAGGCATTCTTGCAGAAATGCTTTAAAGTTTCTGCATAGATTAATGTCAATGAGGCTTTGGCTATAGGAACCATTGCTTTAGACTTTTCTCAKGTGTGAATTTCACTGTTTTGTAATAATGCTTTCACACAACCAACATGAGTCTGCTGTGGTGCACCTGGGTGAGCTGATGGTACCAGATGATGTAGCTTTACCCACACACAGTGCAAGGTAGAGTTGGTGTGGAAAAGAGTTTGTAATGAGAAGCCATGAGCTGTACAAGGAGTGGCCTTGTTTCAATTTGGTTTGTGTGAGTGGATTCCAGTTTCAGTTTCTGTCCTTTACCTAGATGCCAGTGATTCTGAAACACTGACCACTTTTAAAGGTTACTCAATTTGCTGTGACAGAATCAAATATTAGTAACAGTATAAATGGAAATGTCCAAGCATGTTTCTTTAGGGAAGGAAGCTGGAGAGGATACCTGCTACTGCTTTATAAGGAGTCTTCATGAGCTGTGGATGAAACCGGAGAAATCCAAAAGAATGTTAATTTTTCTTGTTACTTTTGCTTTATGTTTCTTTTGCTTGTGTTTCTGTGTTACTTCTATGCAAGTGTAGACTTACAAAGTAAAGCAGGTGCTGTTGTGTGTGGTCACCAGCAATGTAATCCTTGCCCTAAGTGCAAACTGAAATGACAGCAAGCTAATTTTTCTCTTTTAACAGTGGAAAGAGTGGAAAGAGAAAACCTTTCAGACTATTGTGTTCTTGGTCAACGTCCCATGCACTTACCAAATATCAACCAGCTGGCAACTTTGGGAAAAACTAATGAACAGTCTCCTCATGGCCAAATTCACCACAGTACTCCAATCCGAAACCAAGTGCCAACGATGCAAACCATGATAAACCCTGGGCTCCTGTCTCCTCAGCTCAGCCCACAACTGGTGAGGCAGCAGATAGCCATGGCCCATCTGATAAACCAGCAGATTGCTGTCAGCCGCCTGTTGGCTCACCAGCACCCACAGGCCATCAACCAGCAGTTCTTGAATCATCCACCCATCCCTAGAGCTGTCAAACCAGAGCCATCCAATTCATCGGTGGAAGTGTCTCCAGATATTTACCAGCAAGTCAGAGATGAGCTGAAGAGAGCCAGTGTGTCTCAAGCTGTCTTTGCAAGAGTAGCATTCAACCGCACACAGGTATCCATTTCTATTCTATAACYGAGGAGGGGCAAAGCTGTGGCTCTTGTGGGGCTGGATGGTTGTTGCAGATCCAGGCAGGGGGTTAGGTAAGACTCTCAGTCTTTTTCTCTGTCTCTGTCAGTTTTGAACAAGGCTGTTTCTYCCTGGAACAGCTGTTTGTTTGCATTTGGCCACTCCTGCCAAATGAGTTCTTCCCTGAGCTCCTCTCTGTGGTTATGAACTTCCACATTTGCCCCTGCCTGATTGCTGGGAAGAGGTAATAAGAGACTGAGAGTCAGAGGTGTTTTTGGGCTTCCTTCTGACACTTGCTCAATTCCTTCCTGTGGTGCAGCTGATGCCACAACYGGTGTGAGAGGCTGCTCCCACAAGAAATGTGTAAGGAGAGTGTGCTGGGAAAAGTCTTTTGTAGCAGATTGTGTTTGCTTTCATACATCTGACACAGGTTTTCTCACTCACCCAGTGAAAAGCAGATGTTGAAATGATTGCATGGTAGCATCAGCTTAATCCTGGCACCTGGAGTAGCCAGGGTGAATGTGTGCTCAGAAAAAGCCATTTACATTTATCCTGCTGTCACTGGAGCAGGATACAGCGGGATCTCTCAGCTGTGTTACTCTACTCTGTAGCAAGCCTTAAGAAATGTAAAATGGCTGAATATTTAATATTGGTACAAATTCCTTTTGTGTAGCTGGAGTTGTTCTTTGAGGTAACATTTACCAGCAAGAGAAGAAAAGGGGCACTGTGTATCTCTTGGAGGTCTGTCCCTTGCCCTGTACAGTGCCTTTGTCTGTTCTCCTAGATTAATGGTTTTCTTTGGCACTGCCATTTTGGAAATACYGTGTTATGAGGGAACTAATTAAAATATGGAGCACATTTTATTACTTCCCTTCTTCCATTAAATTCATAAGATGGCTGCACTCAGAAAAAAACCACTTGAATTCTGGGGTTAGCCTTGAGGATATCAAATGAAAACTACATAGGAATGTGTGAATGTTTCCTCTTTAAAATGCTGCTTTTAATTTGGAAAAGCTTTTCATCCCTCTGGGATCATAACCATTGTATATAAAGCTTGGTATAATCAAGGTAGATGGTATTGACATATTCTGAGACAGAATGACATATTCTGAGCTGGAGCAGGAGGTCAGCAATAACATTGCCAGTGAGGGTTTTGTCACTGTCACTGAATGGGAAGCTCTCCTTTAGCCAGACTGGGATACCTGGGTTGGTAACACCCAAGTCTGCTATGAAATCAAAGTTTCATTCCCCAGCAAGAAGAAAATTACCTGCTCTTAGCCCTTCATCTTAGGTAATATGATTTATTTTACAGTGCATGGTGCTGATTCCAGGACAGGCAAGTCTTAGAGCATCCATAAAAGATTTGCTCATCTCACAACAGTGTTTGTCCTGCCAACAGGGCCCTAATATAGGAGACCAGTGGTCTTACAGTGCATCATGTCCTCAGAAGCCATCAGTGTAGCAGAAGAGTGTAGATTTTTTTTTTCCTTGTCCTCAGCTGTTAATTCCAGCTCAAATCMAGCTCCCCTCACGTCAGGGACTCTTCAGGGCATTAAGAGAAAGTGCTCAGACAGTGTTGCACTGCACAGTAGAAGTTGTGGGATATTCCCACAACTGGAATGGTGGAGAAGCAAACTCTGCAAAAGGCACTTGAAGTGGAAATTCAAGTCTACTCTCACCTCTTTGCATCCCCCCCTGCTGTCTCCGAGGTGCAGAGAGGTGTGTGTTTCTCTCTGGAAAGGTTTGGGTTTGTTGCATTTCACAAAAGTGCCAGCACTGGAAACTGGAGGTCTGCTGTTTCTCATGATGGTACCAAATAATAGATGCYGTGTGCCAGCCAGCTAATAATGGTATTAATCACTGCATTATGGGTCACTGCTTAATCTTTCTTCATGGTAGCTCTGTGGTRCACATTAGCCTATAATTAAGTATAGCTTCATGAAATATGTACTGTGAGGCTTGTTTAATAGATAAACTATTCTCTAATTTATTTTAAAGTCCAATGACCTACATACTCAATGCTGAAAAGCCCCCTCTTACTAACATTATTTCTCCCCTGAGACCTTCCATCTGAGCAAATCTGTTAAATGAAGTAGAGGAAGCTTTGATCCAAACTAGGCTAAATCCATCGGAACAAGTGGCTGACACTTGTACGTGTGCATACGTGAAGGAGAGATGAAATTGTATGGTTTGTGACACATCCAAATCTTCCTCTTGAAGTTGGAAAATGACAACAATATTTGTTTATACCTGTGGCCATGTTGACTGCAGACATGAAAAYAAAGCACTTCAGTCTCTGTGACAAGTTCTGTACACTTCCTGGAGCAAAGTGCTCCCACTGAGGTGGAGACTGAACATCACACAGTTTAGTACCTGCTGTATGCACAGGGTGTTTGGTTAGGAGCTGGCCCAAGCTGAGTTAGCCATGAAGAAGGTTTCTTCAAACAGAAAGTTCCAAAGTAAGCATTTTTCTATTCATTTGAAAGTGGGAATGAAGAACCCTGGAAGTGTACATGCCTGATTTTTAGTGTCTTGGRCTAACCTCTGCCTCTCCTTATTTTACCTTTAGAGAGTCAGTGTCATAATTTTAATTCACACTACTGTTTGTTCAGCACATGGGATGGGCAGAAGCACCCCCACAGAAACAATATAAACTATTGCAGGTGCTTTTAATGACACTTCTCAATGAGTAAGAAATTCCTTCAAAATATTAAATATTTTARATATTAAAAATGATGGTGCACACTRCCATACTTSTCTAAGATRGTGATCTGATTGGCAGTGATYAGAATGRTGTCTGTTGGAATGACACCCTCTGGGGGTCTGYGTAGCCTTCCCAGCTCTTGGGGCATGGAGAGAGCTTGCCATGGCTAAGGCAATTAGCAGAATTACTGGGGCAGGAGGTTCAGTTTCTTGCTTGTATAATTACACTGTTTGTGCCCAAGTTTTTAATGGCTAGGATCCTTGGCTTTGGCTGCTCTTGCCTGTGACCCCAAGTCAGAAGTCAGAAGAATGTGTTGTTTACTGAAATTGTCCATCAAACACCTGAGAGTTACATAGCCATACCTGATACCTCTAAAGTGGAAGGTATCTTCCTAAGGCAYGTTGACATGAAGCCAGGCTGTGAGCTTGAAGTAGTTATTGAAACAGTCATTAGCGAAAGGTTTGCCTTCTGTAAAACTTTGACACTTCTTGATWGTATAAAGCCATTCAATCTTGAGAAAAAAAAAGCAAGGAAAAGTCTGCAAATCTATAAGAAAAGTAAAACTGTCAGAGTCAGAGCAGGTGCACCTCACACTTGGAATTGCCCTGTGCACATTTTTAAAAGCAGTCAAAGCTTGTGAGTRAAGGAAGTGCCTGCAATATCCAGACTGCAGAGGGTAAGGAGATTTAGTGCACAGAGGGAGCTGATGCCCCTCATTGCTCTCAAACAGTGCAGTGAAGTCAAAAGCTTGTCAGTACAGTGCCCTCCTTCTCCAGTGCAGGCTGGAGTTCCCAAAAAATGCCTGCCTGGCTGAAGCTTGCATTGTCTTTCCTCAGGATAACTCGTGGGTGCTGAGTGGCCTCTAAAAGCATGGGCACCCTCGATGATGGCAGCAAAAATGCTCTGAAATGGGAAGCAGGACAAAGGGCCTGATGGCCAAGGCTGTGCACTTCTTCCTGGCGAATACACACATGGAGTTTGGCCCATCCTCAGGGCAGAGTCCTTGTGCCATTTCCATCCTGCAGTTTATTGTCTCCTAATACAGCATTCAGATTGCAATTCAGGTTTCAAAGGTTGTAGTAACCAGAATTTGCTTACTGCAGGTTGTAATGTTTTGATGAATTGGTGGGTGGTGTTGGTCACAGCAAAAAGTAGGACTAAGAGGACTATTTTAAAGGAAATGCATGAAAATGCTCTCTTGGATTTACCTTGTCCTTAGYTGGAAAGCTTTTCAGCAAATCTGGGGATGCTGGAGTGATCCCACTCCTCAAAATTCAAGCTGGAAAATAGGTAATTTAAATCCTGTTCTGCATAAAGAAAATGAACAYATTATTCTTCTCCCTGWTTGCTAAGTGTCCCTCTTTGCTGCAGGCTCATGGAATTACAGTCAGCACAGTTTATTGGGCTCTTTGGAAGAGTCCAGACAGTTTAAATCACTTGATCAGTGAACTGCTGCTCTCCTTGGGAGTGCCCAGTGGACTACAAACCCAACTGTTTCAGTTTGTATCTTTCTCTTTTTCTCAAGCATCCTTTTTTTTGCCAATGTTGTGACATAATAGCAAAAACTAGTAAAATGTTTGGGCGAAGGGCCAATGCTTGTTTTCCTGAAGTGCCTCCGAAAGTGGAAATATCCTTGAATCTGAGGCTTTTAAAATCAAGTTGTTGTGGGGTCAGATACAAAGAGAGTGGGGYAAAACTGCCAGCATGGTCAGGCTGCTGGTAACTTGCTTCCCAAAGAGCACTGCTCCTTGCTTCCTGCCCTAAGTAGCTCCATGAAGGACCATTTGCTTCCCAGCTCAGCTCCTGCCTGGTTACCTGGTGCTTTAATCCCTTTGCATTAAAGGAATTAACAGCCCAAGGAGAAGAAAACTGCATCAGCTTCAGATGCAGTGGAGTTTGTGTAGAAATAATGATACTCCTTGTTCAAGGGATTTGGTCACACTTTGGGTTGAGGCATAGGGAACACAGGATTGATTCTGGCTGATGCTACAATTTCTGGTGCATCTGCAGGTGAGTCCAGGGCTCTGCAATGAGGAAGAGAAAAATAACATTTCTGTGGCATAGAAAGGTGTCACTGGTCACCTGTAGAGGGTTTGGGGGCTCTCRCAGCAGGAGTGTGGTTGCTAAGGAAGTAAGGCTATGGGTTGTGACTCCTTATTTTAATTCTGCTTTCTTTGGCGAAATTGTCCCAAGTGGAAGTGGGTTCAGAGAAGAGTCCTCTAAAATGCATTAAGAACAGAAATACAGTTTGTTGAAAAAACTGACTCTTCCACCTCTATTT